AAAAAAAAAAAAAAAAAAAAGAAGTTGTGTCAGTGTAGTGGTGCACACCTGTAATCCCAGCACTTGGGAGGCTGAGGCAGGAAGATCGCTATTCGTTCAAGACAAGCCAGGGCTACATAGTGAGTTCCAGGTTAGTCTCAACTACATAGTGAGACCCTGTCTCAAAAAACAAAAACAAAAAACAACAACAAAAAAAGAAGTTAATATTGCCAGGGATTTAGATCAGTGGTTCCGGTGCCTGCCTCTCAAGCACAAGGACCTGAGTTTGAACCCTGGTACCAAAAAACAAAAGAAGTTAAGGCAAACTAATGTCACTGTTCATTTTTTTCCTACATCTTCTGGGAATTACACTTCCCAAAAGTTTACAGAGAAGGAATTCGGCTAAGTCATTCTTTATTCATTATTTCACATTCTACAAGATACTAAAATGGAGGCCACAGTCTTCTTCACACATTGATTTGACCAAAAAGGTCACAGGCCTGCAAGACTTAGGTGACTGCCCTATGTAACACAGCTAGTAAGTGCAGAGCTGCAGTTTGAACCACATCCACCAAATCCTGTACTTACTATGCTGGACACCTCTCCTCTGTGAAGCAGATTTGGGTTCTGGGAATACTGAATTTAAACTGCTTATTTAGGACTGTGGACCTACTTCAGGGATAGTATATTTCACTTACCTACCATGAGTGAGCATGGTATCTGTCTATCTTAAGCACAGAAAAAATAAACTGCTTGTCTACTTCACAATTAAACCAGATACTAATATGATTATAAACTTTTTGGTAAAAGCCATTCTTAATACAATAGCTTCAAAATGTTGTATGAGGCAACTATTTCAAAATTACAAGAGGCAATTATTACATGGATCCTACAAAGCTGAATCTTGAGAAAAGTAAGTTTTAATGGATTCAAGAAAACAGTTTTGCATAACTCAATAAACTTGTATATTTGGCCTTAAGAAAAGAAATTCAGTGCGCTGTCTAACAAGAAATTTGAGCTTCACTGATGAATTACTTCATTTTTTTAAATAAAAGAAGATACCATCAGGGGCCAGGAATTTAGCTCAGTGGGGGCCGCCGCCTGCCTCGAAATGCAAGGTCCTGAGTTCGATCCCCTGGTACCAAAAAAAAAAAAAAAAAAAAAAAAAGAAGAAGAAGAAGAAGAAGAAGATACCACCAAGTGGCAAATCTGCTTTACTTGTGTAAAGTTCTATACTACAAAAACATCTCAAACAGAACTTTCTTTAAGAGGAGTAATGATTTATACTTCCTAAATATATCAGGTGTATTGTGTGCCATTCAAAAGAATTTGAGAGTAAATTAAACTGTGTGCTTTGCCATTTGCTTTGTGAAGAGTTAATTGGAAAACAAATATGAAGAGCTCAGCCTCAGATTTGGCACAAGGAAATGATTTCATCAAATCCAAGTCCATGCTAGAGAGATTGCTGATCTTCATACTGTTTAGCCACAGGAAAAACTATGCAAGAGATGTAGAAAGAAGAGAAGACTGTTCGCTGGATGCATCTAATTCCCTTTTCATTCTTTCTTTTCCTTTCTGTTTTATCTTCTGTGGAGCTGGGCATTGAACCCATGGCTTCACGCATGCTAAGCAGCCACTCTAACACTGAGCCATAAGACTTTTTATATTATTTTTCAGACACAGTCTTGCTGTGTTACAAGGTGGGCCTCATATTTGGAAATCCTCAGCCTCCTGAGGAGATGGAATAACAGGTCGGTGCCATCTTGCATGTCTCCAGTATTCAATCATTTTTCAAAATATATTCTTCTAAAGTTAGGCCAATACCGCTCCATTTCATTAACATTTCTGGTGAAGATTCATTTCTTCTCATAACTCACATATAACTTACAGTGAACACTTGTCCGATAGAATATTCACCAGACAGGACCAAGATGGTCCCATACCAAAACGCCAGCGCATAGGATGCATAGGTGAGCAGAAAATTGGCACCAACAGAAACGTTGGCTGTGACAGCTTTCTTTATCCCAATTCTTTTCGCTTCTTCTAAATTTTTATTGTACCTGGGACAAAGAACAAAAATTGTCACACACATCTTTAAATTTTATTAAAAGTATGTGAGTGTAGCACGATGGTATTGAGGAGTTACAGTGTGCCCAACCCAGAGGATTGCACTGATTTTCTCCTTCTGCCCATAGAGTCACCCTATAAAGTTACTATTTCTTCCCCTCTTGGAGAAAAGGAAAACTGAGGCTTTCAGAGAGCACGTTATTTGTGGGGAAATCTGAAACTCCAACCTTGGCCTTAGCAAGAGCTAAATGAGTGAAGCAATACTTTTGCAAACTTCTAGAACATGTATTTTCCTACATAAGACAAGGAAAATCTATGGGGAAAAACTGCTCTTCAAAATCTGCATGCCTCTGTCATTAATTAACATAATGGAGCTATAATGCCAGAAAGTACTAAGAAGAAGAAAGTCATTTAAATCTCTGAACCTTAAAGAAGTTTGGAGTCTGATCTTTGTCCTGCTTCCCTCAAGGACCACCATAAGGAAGAACTGTGAGATTACTTCTGTGAAAGCATTCTGAGCATCTGAATTGCTATGCAATATTTGTATATCAAAATAAGTTAATTTCATACACATGTGTTTTATGAGACTGACGAGCTGCCTGCTGCACTAAGGAGGCAGTGGAGTTACGTATCTCTTTTAAAAGTCACTAATCCATAAAAATATTTTGACTTGCCCAGGGATTTAGCTCAGTGGTGCCGCTGCCTATCTCACAAGTGCAAGGTGTTGAGTTCGATCCCCGGTACCAAAAGTATTTTTAGTTAAAAATATGTGATATTCTACCACTGTTCATCAGTTTACCCTTTCTCCATATTGCCTACACATCTTTCCTAGCATTTGTCATTCATGGCTGCAGGAAGCTAGAACAAAGGGCTCTTGCATGTGGCTCGGACACCAAATGCCTTCTAGCTGCAGGGATTGAGAGAACCAAGTCAATACACAGAAATCCTATAACTGGTTGACAGCACAAAAATCTTACAGACGATCCATTAAGACTGCTTAGAAGTAATATAATAAATTCTAGAAAAGGGGGTGAAAAGAAGTGAACAGAAAAAAAAAATGTTGCACTCACACATTGTCTACTCACACATTTTTTTCTCCTGCTCTTATGAGTTATTTCCCAAGTTGTAATTTAAGTACAGTAAAACCTAAGATTTCAAGTAATGTGTTGGACAAGTGTAATACAAGATGAACAAACATTTTTAAAAAATAATAAGTGATGGCTCGTAATAACGTAAATGAACATAACTGAGCCAGTGGCTCCTTTCTCCCTCCCTCCCTCCAGCCCCCCACCCCGATTGCTGGTAATTCTCTCCCAACAGCAAGAGGCTATAGAGGAGGCAAAAAAAGGCAGAGGAATTCTTCACTTCAAATGCGACTAGGAAGATGTGTAAAAGGTGGGAAACAAGGCAAAATTTTGCAGAAAAGCACCACTGAATAAGGCTGTAGATAACTGTTTAAGGACAAGGCAATGTCACATTTCTACGAAATCCTCTAAAGGAACCAAAAGCAAGTGTCACTGGATCCATTCCTTGTTAAAGTCACATGAAAGGAAAAGATATTCCACTGAGCCAACAGACAGCAGTGATCCCATTAGTGACAGTGAAAGTCGTCCTACACAGTAGCCCTTCTTTCTCTTGTCTCCTTCACACCAGCCATGAAGGTTTTCAAAAGTAACTACGGGTTAATTTGTTTATTTTTCTTTATATTTCATATTTTCCTTATGGTTTTGTACTATACTACAGTTTGTAATCATTTTTATATTAATATTTTGGGGCTGTGGAATGAAGCATCTGAGTTTCCACGATTTCTTATGGAGGAAATTCACTTTGATATATTAATGCTCTGTATTACAAGCATGTTCGTGAGATGAATTATGCTTGCAGGCCAAGGCTTTACTGTACTTTTAAATCTTTGAAGAGGGAATGATTTCTATGTTAAAGCTAAATGAACAGTTTGTGCCAGGTTATCTTCATTTCAAAGGAATGCAGATTACTCAACTCAAAAGGAAAAATGTGCATAGAAGCAAATAGGGCCCACAGTTAAAGAGGATGAACAACTTCGAAAATATAGAACCAAGGTGAAATGATTAGGAAAAAGAATAACCGAGTCTTAACTCTATTATTATCCTACTTATCAGAACTCTCTGAAGAACTTAGAGAGCTTTGCCTTGCAAAAAGCAGCTCATAATTGCTGAAATGAAAGAATTGAATTCTACAGAGAATTCATATTTTGGGGTCTTTGATCAATTAAATGCATCATTATATGATTGCAAATATATGAGTTTTTGTTAGAAAGTTCTTTCATTTGTTATAGTAGAGTTCAAGCCCTACCCAGATGTAATCACCTTCAGGACTACATCTCAAAACCAGCTCTTTCACCAGTTCCAAAAGCATGAGAAATGAAATTTACATGACAATCCTGCCCATTAAAGACCAAATCTAAGCATATTGCTAAAATATGTAAATCCTGGCCTGCCAGCATAATCTTAGAATAAAAAATTAATTTTAATACACAGGTTTCATGAGTGTGTGTGTTCCCTGTTTTAGTACTTTAGCTGAAACAAAAGGTACCACTTGGAATAAATTACACATGGCTTGACCTAGGAATTTTAACGCCCATGATTCAATGCCATCAGCTCCTGTATTGCGGGTCTTGCTTACTGAGACAGTGGAAACCATTTCACTGATATGAAGTCATCCTATGCAGCAAGAAGAGACATATGCACAGGAAGAAGGAAGAGGGAAGAAAATCACTTAGATGCCATAAATGAAAATAAAGCATACAGAAGGGAGCTGAAAAACAATATTCCTTTTGTGTAATTTCTTGTTATTTATTTATTTATTTATTTTTGTGGCAATGGGAATCAAACTCAGGATCATGTGCATGTGAGACAGGCTTGGTGCCACTGAGCTAAATCCCCAGCCCTCTGGTAGGTTTCTCACTGAAAATGTCACTCTTGGGCCAAGGATTTAGCTCAGTGGTTCTGCCGCCTGTCTCACAAGCACAAGGTCCCGAGTTCCATCCCTGGTACCAAAAAAAAAAAGTCACTCGTATAAAACCAGCTTTTAAAACCATCCTATTCATTAGAAGATTTGTAAAAAAAAATGATATTTACACTAAGAATTCCTAAAATGGCCTAAAATAGTATTTTTAAAATATTATTCTTCTTAACTATTATGAAAATATTTATTGATTCCTATTAAAAAAGGTATTTAGAAGAGCAAGATAGCAATCAATAGTAATATACACATTAGCAAGATACATATAAGAGGGAAAATATTTTTCTTTTATTTTGGAGACAGGGTCTCACTATGTAGTTGAGGCTGACCTGGAACTCACTATGTAGTCCAGGCTGGTCTCTCACTCACAGTTCTTCTGCTGCCTCAGCCTCCCAAGTGCTGGGATTACAGGTGTGTGCCACCACGCCCAGCTGGAAAATATTTTTAAGTTAGGATAATAGGACTACTCTGTTAAATTAAATTTACTTACAACCTGGTTAAACTCCCATTGTAAGAGAGTAAGCCCCTGTTTCACCTTCTGTTTGGAAGAGAAGGTCAAACTGAGACTTTGACTGCTGGTCTATGTGGAAGCAGAGAAGAGGAGAGCTAGAAAGAAAGCTGAAGGACTGGGCTTGGTCTAGGAAGTTTCACCAACTCTCCTTTCAAATGAAACCCTAAGTTTCGATCTTCGTCCACCCTCTCCAGCCTCCTCGCAGACCGCCATCCCCCTCTCCCCTAGACGCCCATACCAGCCCCCTCCGCTCTCCCTGACCCCACCGTCATGCATCAGAAACTTTACAGATGAAGAAATAATCTTAAAATGTGGCTGGTCATTCCTCTTATATAACATTGGTAGTCATTTCCCCAAGGCCATAGAATAAATCCCAACTTTTCATCTTACAAGTATGTGTCTCCAATATGTAGCCCACATCCACCCTAATCACCCCTCCCTCAACCAAGAACTGGTCACAAAAGCCATCTCAGATTTCCCAGAGAGTATTAAGACCTATCCCATCTCATGGAATCTGGAAAATTTTTCTTCAGCCCACCCATCACTACCTCTACCATGAGTCTTCTCAACCATTAGGTCTTAGTTCAGGTGGAAATTCCTCAAAGTGGCTGAATTACAAACACTCTCTTTACAATACAATTAATAACCCCCTAAACAAAAGGTTTTCACCTATATCTTTATTAAATGCTAAAGTTTTTACTGCTCAGACATCAATAGATCTGACAAATATTATGAATTTTAATACTTCAACATTTATACTTGGAAATCTGATAAAAGTCTCAAGACTAACGCTAAGTAACATTACATAAGAAAGATCTTCAATTTTTTCTAACAACATGCTTGTCAGTTATATTTTAAACATCAAATCATACAATATACCTCACCTAAGTAGAAACCTGGGCAAGAAGGGAAATAATGCACAGATTAAAATGTTCCATAAGCCTTAGCGAAAATAGTCATCCAGGGCCCAGGATTTAGCCCAGTGGCACCATGCATGCCTCACCAAAGCACAAAGTGTGAGTTCAATACCCCATACAAAAAATAATAATGGTAATAATAATATTCATTCAGTATTAGAGAAGAATTAGTTCAATAGACCAAAAAAAATCAGAGCTATAAAATATATTTCAGCATTATAAAATTATTTTACATATTATTGATAAATTAATTTTGTCACTACCCATTCTAGACATTAGGAAATTGTTTGAATTAGCAGATATGACCAAATTACATACTTTTTATTACACAATATAGGTCCTTTGTTATTTAAGGAAACATATTTATACTGGAAAATAAAACCTCTTCTAATTAAAACTGTCCCCAGGACATCTGAGCTGACACAGAATAGCATATCTATCAGTTTAAATAAGAAACACAGACCTAAGCACGGTGGCACATGCCTGTAACGTCAGCATTAGGGAGGCTGAGGCTGGAGGATCTCCATGAGTTTGAGGGCAGCCTGGGGTACATAAAGGAGATCCTATCTCAAACAGCAAACAAACACAGGAACTCAAACCTTTCAAGTTCTTTCTTTTGTCCTCCAAATGCAATCACAGTTCTAATGGCTGCTAAGACCTCTTCAGCCACAGCTCCCGCTTTTGCATAGGCTGAAAGCTCTTTATCCGTGAATGAAGACAGTATCTGTCAAAATATTAAAATTGAAACTTTGGGTGATTTAAAAACCTTTCAATGTTATGTTTCACAAAGGAAAAGTATACAGACACAGACACTGCTGATATATTAATGCATGTGAAGAAAAAAATCTTTTTGTGAGTTGTGTGTGGAAATGACATCATATATTTTAGCATATATTCACTCGGTAAACTCTTCAAACTGTTTTAGTCTAAGATAATGTATAATAAATTAGATTAATCCCCAACATTTTCCACTGCAAACCTCATGGATCCTCACCTACCTCAATATATCTGAAACGCTGGGATGTTAAATTCATATTATAGGGGCTATCAGTGGTTCCGCCGCCTGCCTGGCAAGCACAAGGTCCCAAGTTCGATCTCCAGTACCAAAAAAA